TCTTTCACTACATGTGATGCCTTGACACTGAACCTCCAGTTCCATTATTTGCTATTGTTCACACAGCATATTTAAAAAGTACAAGTTCTCCTACTGAACTGATGCTGCTGCTTTGGGAATTAAGGATCTATTTTCTCACAGCTAAGTTCTCAAGTAGTGTAAATGGTTTTGCATAATGATGATTATATTCACTGACTCCTACTGATTTTCAGGAGGGATTTAGAATAAAACAAATAATATGATGAGGGACCACATTTTATTATTAAACTACTTAATTTTAATTAGGTTTTGGGATTGGTTTTTCCTTAATATCTTCAATAATGGTAATATCTTCAATAATGGTAATATCTTATGGTTTTGTGAAACTCATTGTGGAAAATACACATTTTACTTTAAATAATTTGAACTGTAAGATAGTAATATGTTACATTTATATTTTTTCCACCTCCATACTCTTTTCAAATTGCCTTTTTAATAACAGTAATAAGCATACAACAGCTCAGTTCTTCAGCTCTTTTTCCTAGCACTAGCTGAAAGGTACTGTCTGTTTATAATGGAGTACTTTACTGATGATGGCAAAGTATAATATTTTAAAATTAGTCTATTATTTTCCCATTCACTCTAGTTAGTCTAGGCTACACCAATAAATTTACAAAAAACAACAATTCCACCTTGCCTGGAGGATGATATGGAAGGATCATCATGTGTCCGAATCTGACGCAAGAACACACGCTTTGCAGAAGAGCCACTCCATCATTTGCATCATCTTTCTGATGTAAAAGTATGCGCATTATTTGCATTTAGTGTTTCAGGTTGAAATGCTGATTTCAACCTAGATTATGACATTCCAAAAAATGCAAATAATGTACCAAGACAGAAACAAAAGTAGCACCTGTAAGATGTGAAATCATCCTGCCCTATTTAGACCTTGTAAGACCTCAGCTGAAATACTGAGTCCAGTTTTGGTTACCATTTCAAGACATGAACTAGTGGAAGACAGCTCAGAGGAAAATCATGAGAATGATCAGAGTTCTGGAAAATAAGATCTACATGGAAAGATTGAAAGAACAGTGATCACAGCCTAAAGAAGAAAGGGACCAACAATCAGTTTGCAAATAAGTAAAAGGTGCTGCACAAAGGATGATTAGTAGTCTGTTCTCCTGATATGTAATGATTATGACATTCTTAAATGGCAACAAAGGGATTTAGATATTAAGAAACAAGACAGACAAGTGCCAGAATAAATATTTTTTTATGAGGTTGTGGAGTGTCCATCATTAAAAGTCTTTGAGAACAGGATAAACATATATTAGGAATTACATAAATAATGCTGATCCTACCTCTCCTAATCCCTTGCAGCCCAAATATTCCACAAAGAGTTTAAATTCTTCAGCTGAGACTTCTACTTTTTTCAGATTTATTGTTGATTTATTGGTCCTCTAATACTACACTTCGATTTCACCATCATACTGTAAGTGGCCTGAACTTCATATTTTCTGTGTTAGCCCCAAGATGCGAAAGTTGTTGCATACAGGATTTGCATCTCAGGATAATCATGCTCTTTTTAGTATTCCGCTGTTTCAAAAGTGTAAAAGGGACTCCCTTTAAGAAAATAATTCTTTCTCATTTTAAGTTCACTTCAGGATGATGCCAGCTGCTTTGTATGCTGTATGAGCAAAGCCTTTTTGAAACTTTCACTAGAAATGAAACCTCAAGATGATGGAGATGCAGCAGTAACCATGGATGAAGAGCGTTTTATTCCCGACTTGTTTCCGTGACTGGTCTTTATGACATGGAATATGAAGGAACCAATGATCTGCAGCCTTGTTTAGCAAAATTATAATAGGGATTAAATGACAGAGAACTGTCTCACTTCTTTGTTTTATTCTGAGCACAACTGGATTAAAAACTGAGTGATTTCTACTTGGAGATGTTGCCTAGTCAAGAGAGAACTAATTGCTACAACAGAGAAAATTACTTTCTGTTTTGAACACTCAGATGAAGCAATCTACACCTCACTGTCAAATATAAAAAAATACAGATTTTGGGCAGAGGAAATAATAGCTATAAACGTTCACTAAATGCCCCCACCTATGAAAACATATTATGTCTTCAATGCACATAAAACACATCATCTTACCAGTTTATCTCAGAACATATCTGAGGGATCTAGCCTCTGTAAAACACAATACAATATATTCAAAGCACAAATAGAACTACTAAATCAGGTAAAGTCTTTCAAAGTAGAGAAAAATCAAAATTCTGATTGATAGGAAAATATCTTTTCTGAGCTGACTGAATTTTTGGTTCCCTTTGGTTGCCACCTTTCTGACTGATTGGAGAGGGAGGGACCACACATCAGTCTTCATTGGTGGCAACTCAGTTACATAAGGCTGTTTCTCAGCCGTACATAGCCTTTGCAGCTGATGTGACTTGACGAACATTTAGCCCACTAAAATGATACTGCATTCTATCATTTGTGATAATTATTTAGAAATAAGTTAATTACGCTTACTGCTTAAAATGTTCATCTAGAGAGAAAATAGGGGGATACACAGCAGTGTATACGATGAGCAGCTATGAAGAAAGCCGAGACAAAATTATCTAGAAATCTCATGTTATGCTAATTATTCCTGGTGCTGTACTCAGTTGCTGGAAATAATTACATGAATTGTCTTTGAGCTCTATGCTTAAACAGGTGTGTACTGTTTACAGGCTACATTTAAAGGCTGGATGGATATTATGTATGCAGCTATTGACTCAAGAGATGTAAGTACTGCAAATATTTTAAATTATCTTTTTTTCCTGAGGTCCATCTATCAACAAGTGTGTATTTATATGTCTTCCAAAACCAATTAATATTCATACAATAGAATGAAACAAAATTAAATTAACTAATAAGAGATTCTGCTCTAACAAAATGTGTAAAACTGAATGCAAACTGCCAGATGTTGTTAGGAATAGATGGAATGGACAAAATACATTGATACAAGTGACAGGAGTATTGTCCAAACACAAAATATTAAGGACATTTTGCCCAAGGTTGCTGCTTGTTCAGTTGAAATTCTCACATGAAATCTTAGGAATGATATTTCACTTTTTTTTTTCCTTAGGTGTTACAGCAACCCAAGTATGAAGACAACCTGTATATGTATTTGTATTTTGTCATCTTTATAATTTTTGGGTCTTTTTTCACCCTGAACCTGTTCATTGGTGTCATTATTGATAACTTCAATCAGCAAAAAAAGAAGATAAGTATTGTTTCATTTCTCTTCTAAAGATATTCTAAAATAAATTTTTGCAAGTGCATGATATATGGAATGTGCATCCAAGGTTTGCTTAAAATTGAAAAAGCTGAAGTATATTATGATATAAAATCTTACCAAGATCTAGCACACATTAACGTCATAAGATTTTACATTGTAGTGAATAGGACAGACCCTTCTGTTTTCAATGTCCAGGTTAGTCTTCCTCAAGTTGTCTGCTTTTCCATGCCTAAACTTCATGAAATGTCCTTACATCATCAAACACCTGATTTAGGCCCCTACATAAATTCTGATGGGTTGTCATTCAAGCTGTCGCTAATGAAAGTTACTACAGGCAGTGGATTTTGGTTAGGTTGCCATGAAAGACCCATAATTCTCTCTTTATCTTCAGTCAGACTCCAAAGGCCAGTTCTGGCTTTTGCTAATCAGAACTTCATTGACCATGGAAGCTAATCAAGATAAAATACTTAAAAGAGAGCATTTTGCTGTCAACAGTATCGAGTGGTTCAATCTTCAGCTCAGTTTCTCCAAGGTCTGATAATCCATCTTCTCAAAAACCTTGAAGACTTTGAGTCCCAATGCTAATGTTCTAACTGCTAAACCAGAGATACCTAAAGTACTAACACATTCATGCGCTGAAAACCTGACGATGTCTGCTTCCTTTGTTTCATTCATATCACAGTTCAGAAGTGCCAATACTGAGCAGCCCAGACTATTTGAGCTTAGCTCTGATGCTCTTTACTGTATCTCCTCCTATAAAAGAAAAGAGGTACTGAAAAGGATTTCTTGGTGCTCAAGGAAAATACCTGTAGAAAAATGCTGCATTACTGGTTTTTGTGAGATGCAGTACTGGATGTCCAGACAACTTCTGGTCTAAATGCTTAGATTGCAGACAGCTGCATTTGATAGCCAAGAGATATTTCCTAATTCAGTCTTCTTGATTTTCATGAAATAAATAAATCACATTTTTATTTAAGTTTTTTCAGCACTGCATATAAATGTGATTATAACCAGTTTTGATTTCATGTTTTTACTTTGGAGGTCAAGACATATTTATGACAGAAGAGCAGAAGAAATACTACAATGCAATGAAAAAGCTGGGATCCAAAAAACCACAAAAACCTATACCAAGACCAGGGGTAAAAATATTTATATACATCAGACTAATACCTATTTACAAACAGCTCAGCTTTTATTGATATACAGAGAGCAGAAATATGCCCATGTAAAAATTATCATTAATTAGTGCATCAGTCAGCAAAAATGGAAAATGAAAACACAGTAAACCCAATTGCTTTTCCCTTGCAATCATTTTACATATGAATATACAAACAAAGGAGGTTGAACTAAGCTGTTGTATTCACTTTGACTACTCTAGATTACTAGTTATATTTTTATTGAAAACTCATAGGCCTTACTGCATGTATTTTTCTACTTTCTTCTAACAGGAAAAGAAAAACAATTACAGCCTGTATTGGATGTTTCTTTTTTTCTTTTCTCCTCAGAACAAATTCCAAGGCATGGTCTTTGATTTTGTGACACAGCAAGTATTTGACATCAGCATCATGATTCTTATTTGTCTTAACATGGTTACCATGATGGTAGAAACTGATGACCAGAGTAAAGAAATGGAAAATATTTTGTACTGGATAAACCTGGTGTTCATTGTCCTTTTCACTGGAGAATGTGTCCTGAAATTAATTTCACTTCGCCATTACTATTTCACTATAGGCTGGAACATTTTTGATTTTGTAGTTGTCATTCTCTCAATAGTAGGTAAGTCTTGTTTATTAACCTAAAAAGAGGTTAAAATGAACATAAGGTGAACTTTTACTTGAATAGAGCTATATGGTTGGCTTTTGCCATTGCAAGGTTTACAACTAAGTCGTGCAACTTTTCATTTTATCTAATAATTTACCTAATCCAACCATCAAAGATGTTATAATCATTCAACATACATTGCACCTGCAAATATTAAGTATAACTGGTAAAACAGAAATTATGCAAGTGAAATCTACAGAATATCTTTAATTGCTACATAGAACCACAGATTTTAAAAATATTTTTCTAAATTTTGACTATGATATGGAGATTAAGTGGTAATGTATCTTGGTTTTATTTTTTTGTATTTTTAGGTATGTTTTTAGCCGAGATGATTGAGAAATATTTTGTATCCCCCACACTGTTCAGAGTCATCCGACTTGCCAGAATCGGTCGAATCCTGCGTCTCATTAAAGGCGCTAAGGGGATCCGCACTCTGCTTTTTGCTTTGATGATGTCTCTTCCTGCTTTGTTCAACATTGGGCTGCTGCTCTTCCTGGTCATGTTCATCTATGCGATATTTGGCATGTCCAACTTTGCCTATGTTAAGAGGGAAGCTGGTATAGATGACATGTTCAACTTTGAAACGTTTGGCAACAGCATGATCTGCCTATTTCAAATTACCACATCTGCTGGCTGGGATGGTTTGCTAGCCCCAATTCTCAACAGTGGGGAGCCAGACTGTGACCCGAACAAAGCTCATCCAGGGAGCTCCGTGAAAGGCGACTGCGGCAACCCTTCCGTTGGGATTTTCTTCTTTGTCAGCTACATTATCATATCGTTTCTGGTAGTGGTGAACATGTACATAGCTGTGATTTTGGAGAATTTTGGTGTTGCTACTGAAGAAAGCGCTGAACCCTTGAGCGAGGATGACTTTGAGATGTTCTATGAGGTCTGGGAGAAGTTTGATCCCGATGCAACACAATTCATGGAATTTGAGAAACTGTCTGATTTTGCAGCAGCACTTGAGCCTCCTCTTCATCTGCCCAAACCAAACAAAGTCCAGCTTATTGCAATGGATCTGCCCATGGTAAGCGGTGACAGAATTCACTGCCTTGACATCTTGTTTGCTTTCACAAAGCGTGTTTTGGGGGAAAGTGGGGAGATGGATGCCCTCAGAATACAGATGGAAGATCGATTTATGGCATCCAATCCTTCAAAAGCTTCCTATGAACCAATTACCACCACATTAAAACGAAAACAGGAGGAGGTATCTGCTGTCATAATTCAGCGGGCTTATAGACGTCACCTTTTAAAACGAACAGTAAAACAAGCTTCCTTTATCTATAACAAAAACAAAACCGAAGGAGGGGCTGGTCAGGGTATGAAAGATGAAATCCTTATTGACAAGTTAAATGAAAACTCATTTACAGAGAAGACCGATATAACCGCATCGACAGCAGTTTGTCCACCTTCTTATGATCGTGTAACGAGGCCAGTGAAAGAAAAGCATGAAAAGGAAGATAAAGATGTTCAGAAATAAAAGCAAATAGCAAGCAAAATCATCTATGTGCAAAATAGTTCATAGCCTGTAAGGATCATGTGTTTGTGTCAACAGGACTCCTGCTGGAGGTCTATGCCAAACTGACAATTTTTACAAACATACTGTACATTAAAGGTCAGTGCCTATTAAAAGACAGTGACCCCTCGTCAGCGACTGTAACTGCGATACGGGGAAACAACCTTGAGAGGAGGTTACTGTTTTCACTACCAGCTGACACTGCTGAAGAGGAGAGAAAACATGGCTACTCAGACTGTAGGGACCAGTTAAAGGGGTGCAAACCAAGTATTTGTGTGCTTAGCATAATGGTAACTGTATCCACTGTTTGCATTTCAACTGCCACATATGTCATATTTTTACAAAATCTGTGTTGGTGGATTCATCTTATTTTTATTCATATGTTGTTTATTATATGTGACTATTTTTGTAAATGGGGCTTCTGTTGGGGAAGGGGATTAAGTACACCTTTACAGGTACAAGGGCCAGGTGTTCTATTATATGACTAATATACACACAGAAATTATTTGCATGAAGGCATGCTGCACTTATAGATCATGCATGAAAATAACATTAAGTCACAAAGAACAAGAGATTTTTTTTAGTGCAGTGTTTCTGGAAAGGAATAACAGATTTTGAGGTGCTTAATTAATGTATTCATGTTGTATCACGTCCAAACAAGTCTTGGTATGCCTGTAAAGTCCCCTGTAACTCACAAGAACAGTACAGACGTATTATTTTTTGCACAGACCATTAAGTTTCAGAAAGTGCAAACTTCTTTCTTGGTCCGGAGTCACAGATTTTATCTTTGTCAAATGTCTTTCTGCATACAAATACTAAATGAATTTGCCTCAGCCCTCCAAATTGATCAAAAAGAGCCCTTTATGAAGTTGTTCAGCTTTATCCTGCAGTATTGTTTAGCCATCTTCAGCTCTCAGTAAGGTTGATGTTGTACATGTTAATGAAAAGCCCCCTGCTATGTAAATAGGAATTTTTAACCTGTGGTGCATGTTTGAGCAAACAGATAATGACCTTAGCACAGTTATTGCATCAAATATGTACCACAATAAGTGTAGTGTGCAAGTGTTCAACAGGTAAAATTACTTATTATCTACCATTATAGATAATTTGGATGCTATCAATGCATGTTTATATTGCCTATGCTGCTGTTCCTTTGACTGTTCAGGATTCTTAAATACGGGAAGCCATACATCAGAGCTAAATGAAATAAACTACTCAACAAGACCTCACTCCTCCATACCATTAAGCAATATTTTGCAGCTACTTAGGAGCTTATTTGTTTTACATTTTTGAATTTTCAGTGAAAAGCATATAGTGTATATCCAAACTGTACAGACATGTTGAAAACTACTAAACCTGTTGAAAATAATGTTAGAATTTTATAAGCAAATATAAATACTGTAAAAATCATTTTATTTTATTTTTCAGCATTATGTACATAAAACAAGAACTGAATTTTATCTTCGGGTTGATGTCACACCATTTTTGTTACTTTCTGTCCATAGCACTTTTTCACAGAAGAACTCCAGAGAACAAGATTTAACTAAGAGAATGGATAGCTGTAGGTTCTTATTTTTTACAATATTTGCAAACATGTCAATACTTTCTGCAAAGTAAGTTCATAATTAGCTGCTAAAAATCTATGGTTTTTTGCAGTTGGGAAATGGTGTAAAGTTCAAATTGAATGTCTAAGCAGTGCCTGCATCGTAAGTTTTCAGCTACAACCTTTCTTTCACAGAATCCTTAATCTTTTCTCATATTTACTCACAGATTTTTTTGCTTCATGCTGCAGTAGAACAGTTCTAAATGTTATCTTGGGTCCACAGTATTTTTTCACAAAGAGAAAGTAGCAAAATTATATATTCAAACACATCAAGACATTTTCTGTTTCTTACACAGGAAAATTAAATATAGATTACTTTTATTAAAATTATTGACTAATACTGTATTAGTGAACTGCATGCAGGAAAATGCTATTACCCTAACTGATGCTAAAGAACATTATTAATGCGCCAAAATAATAAAGATTACATTTTTTATTGTATGTTCATTTGTCTTTATTATCTGACATTAATATGAAAAAGGCATGCTTCTGGAACCACAGAATGAGAGGATACTGAAAACCCCTACAGCCAGCTATACTGTTCTTCCACATGAGCAAATCCTTGGGACTTGCTTGTTAGTCACCACCTAGGAATTTCCAATTCGATACATGTTAGACACTGAGCATGATGATTCTGCACGTGCCACTAGTACTGCCCTGAGCGATTTCACGGGTTCATGCGGCAGCTCCATGTGGTGGGGTACTCAGCCATCCAGTCCCCGTCAGAGCTGTCCTGAGTGTGTCCCAGGAGGCTCAGAGCATTTACAGAATGTGAACTGAGCGTTCATGAGTTTACAACGAGAAAGTGAGGACTGAAACTAGTACTAGATATATGACATTCCCCAACTTGGATTATGAGAACCAGTTTGTTCTTGCTAGTTACTATTCACAAATACGCTACAGAACATCTCATATTCAAGTCCATTTCTGAAAAAGGTGAATCAGCGTCAGGGTGAATAACCATTGGTCTTTTCCTCAGGAATTTTTGAGAATCTCTCTGGAAGCACCATGTTCCTGGAAGCTATCATTTGTAGATACTGAAATGGAAAAATGCAAATGCAGCTGGAAAGTGGGCCTGTCGGTTTTTCTTTATCAACTGCTTCCGTGAATTTCTGAAAATGTTCATTTATATGCTTACATAATTTTATATTGCATTCCCCTACAACTTACAATGAAACCAGTTTATGAGCAACTGTATTCTGTATTCTTGCTCAATTGCTAATGCAGAAATAAAATTTCACAGCATCTTCCCTGAAATTCATCACAAATCTTTCGAGAGAGGAAAATGTTTCTCCTTCAAATTGTTCTGAAATGCATTATGAGAAAACTAAACTTTGTCTAAAACTTTGATAGAAAAGCATGAGTATCAAAATTAAAAGATAAGTATTTTCAGATTAACACATAGACAAAATGGGTCTTAAAAGGTTACCTTAAAAAGTAGGTAAATTATCCACAAGTTGACAGGAATAATAGACTGCTTCAAAAGTAAGGTAGTACATTGAATAATATTTTTTTAATATTCTATACAGAGCTTTTTAAACTTTGCTTTTCTCAAGGAAAGAGTTTTAAGATAAATGATAACTAGGTCACTGTTGCTGCAGATTGCAGGTCATGGCCATGCAAAAATACTTGTTTCTCATACCTATTTTAGGTTTGAAATGTTACGTCAGAGCAAGTAGAGCATCACTTAAACATAACAGCACAGTTTGAGGATGATCTTGGCCAACAGGGAAAACCAAATATGCTTACATATCGCCGCTTTGGCACCTTCCTGACACTGGGGATGAGAAGCGTGAGGTGAGTAGCGTCACGTGTGATGGATTTGTTAGGCAAGCTTACTCTGAGTGCTCTCAGCTAGAAGAATCGGCTTCACCTACTAATTCAGTGCAAGGTCGGTTCACCTCCTTGTACTAAATGGCATTATTGATGGTTTGTTTCCACATTAGATGGACAACCCAACCGTTCTAAAGGGAGGTTATTTCATAGAATCACAGAATGGTTTGGGTCGGAAGGGACCTTAAAGATCATCTCGCAGCAGTTGGTTGCTTCTGCTGTCTGGAGACGATGACTGAGGGTGCTTTCCCCTCCAGGGGAAAACCTGAATTTTACTAGTCTTTGCAGCTCTGTAATATCCTAGGAAGAAAGAAAGAAAAAAAAAAAGAAGAAAAAAGAGAGAGAATTTTCTGTATTTGATTTTACCCCATTGCAATTTTATTTCTACAGAGAAGATTCGCATAACTTGAAGTGCTCAGTATTGAGATACATTATGAAACACATGGAGCGTGGGCCACTTAATCGTATGTCCGGCCAAAAGAAGGAAAAAATAAACGAACTCTCAGAGCTTTCCGGGCAGACACGACCAACCGATGCACGCGCTCCTGCAGAACAGCCGCCCAAAGCGACCGCCCCCGCCTACAGGGGGAGCCACACCCCCCACAGCACCGCCCGCCTAGGTTTTTTCAATCCCCGCCCTCCTCCGACTCTCACCCAATGGTATGGGACGGACCGCCCGGGTGGTCCCTCCCCCATCTCCCGAGAGCCCAATAGGCCCCGAGACACGTTACGGCGTTTTCCACGAGTTTTTCTTCCCGTG